CCCAGCACTCCCCCCACCCTTCCAAGTAGGTGAGACATGTTGACACAAATTTTTAAGTCCAAGCAGGATGAATCACTGAAAGGGCACAACCTGCCAGCTTCCTCTCCATTCAAGCCTTGGGCTCCCCCAGAGATGATGGGTGGAAAACAGAGAAAAGAGAGAAGCTGCTGATCCTGCTGCAGGCAGAGAGGAGCAGCCTGGACACAGGTTCCACAGAGGGGCCCTGGGGAGGGTGACCTGGCTGGATCTCAGAGAGTCCCTAAGAGAAGGCCCGAGAAGCTCCTGGAACACTGCACCCTGGAGAGGAAATGACTCCTCCAAGCTGGGTAGTCTAGGTCAAGTTGGGAACTAGAGGTCCACTGCCCAGCCCAGTGTCTTCTCCTGGGGTCCCTCAGACTCCCTGTCCCCTGCACACACCTGCTCTTTCTTCTGCAGGGGGAAATTGAGGCATGGCAAATGGAGCACAGAAGAAAGAGGGCTAGGGACAGCTCCAGGAGCAGAGGGCACCTCCGCCCTGCCTCCTCTACCGAGACCGTGGGTCAGCCTACACTCAATAAAACTTTAGCACTTTCAACACTGTGGGGCCCCCTTCCTCTGTGTAATTTTTAAAAGTTAAATACATGGATATTAAATATAAAGTATATATACGGAAATCCTTAAGTCCAGACTATTCCTGCTATAATATTTAAGGACATTTATGAAAATATAAATTACTAAATGCGTGACATTTTTCTCTCATTCTTTTGGTGTCTATTGTATGATATCCTGGACACGGGCTCACTCAGCCCTCTGGGTGTTCAGTATGCCTGGCAATCTGCTGGGTCCTAGAGACAGACAGAAAGGCCCAGGACCTCCCCCTGAAGGGCCTTTGAAAAAGGTCTCCACCCCATCCTGCCTTCCACCCCACCTAGCCTGCCAAAGTGCCAGGCAGGAAACAGGAGACGCCGCTAGTCAGTTTCCCCTCCCCCTGCCCGCTCTATCCCCAGGCTTCCTAGTTGGCAGAACCAGGGCCAACTCCCAGATAAGAGCTGGATGGGTTTGAGGGGGGCAGCACAGGAAACACCAGCCTGTTGGCCTGTGATCCAATCACTCCCAAGTCACTCACTCAGCAAAATGGAGGCATTTGTCCACTTCCTTTAGAAAGCCACTTCCCTCATCCCTATCAGGGTCCAGAGCGGAGGTCTGGAGAACCAGGGATCAGCTAGAACACTGAATTGCGATCGAGGTCTGCCTCATTCAAAGCAGTCCCACCTGCATTCTAAAAGCGTGTTGTTAATTTTTCCTCTAAAGTAAATCAGCTAGATCTGCTTCTAGAGCATTAACTACATACTAGATAGCTGGGCTTTATGTGAGCTGAGAAGTCCTTGGGGGTAATGCTTGTTCTCACGTTGTGGACAAAGAAAAGGAGACTCAGAGAGGTTATATAATTTGGCCCTGGCCACCCAGCAGCAGGAGGGTAAGAAACAGATTCTGGATGCCAAGCCCAGAGGCTGTTCCCTATTACCATGCTATTTTGAGCCTAAATAGTCTTCCAGCTTAAACTACTAGAACCCTTTTAATCACTATGCATCTAAAAGGGCTTATATTTGCAAAAGAGTAAAAGAGAACAACAGTTTTGAAATTCTAACGTGTTGATGCAGAAATACAATGCAGACTTGGTAGGGCTCTGTTATCTAAATAAGGGTTTCTTCTGGGAAGTGGCTTTCTTGGGAAGATGTGGAGGTTGCTAAAGAGATGAAATCCACAAAGAGGAGGCTGAATCCACGAAGAACAGGCTAAATCCTTGCAAAGGCCTTGGACCAGTGAATCCTGACACGGTATTTAATTGTATTCCCAACTTGTACCTTTTTCTTGAGGCAAACAGCTATGTGTGGAGTTAATTGAAAGACCACAAGGAAAAGTGGGAGTGAGATAATTTAGAAACCGGAAAATTTCTTCTGCAGAGGTGACAACAAGGCGTGAAAATGAAGAAACTGTGTGTCTGTATGTGAATGTATTAGCAGAGGGACAGTTTTTAACCCACTGGTGCCTCTTTATCAGTGAAGACAAGCAGGGAGCCAGAAGAATTATTTCCCTGAAGGTAGCGCTGGGCACAGATGAGGGCAGCGTCGCACACCCCATCTCTCCATCGGCTGCCAAGGAAGTGTGTGAGGACAGACAGTGAGTAAAAGGCTCTGAGCCTTTTCTCAGAGGGATGTTCTCCAGTTGCACAATTTCCCAGGGGTCTCATCTAGCCCCCCAGCTTTGCACCACCTACTTGCTGGAAGAATCTGGGCTCACCCTTGAGCGCCAGAAGTACACAGCCAAGCCCACTTGCCATCACTGTTCATCTTATCAGCACTGCCATAGCCCACCCCCAGGTTTCCTCAAACAGTAAAGGGTATGGCCTTCCAGGCAAAAAATTAGGAGCTCAGAGCCTCCTTGGTGACTCAGGGGGTTAAATCTCAGCACTATGAAGCTATCAGTTCTATCCCCAGGCCAGGGAACTGACCCACAAGGCACAGCTGACCTGGCCTGTGTCACCTGCTACTCCCCTCAGCAGGATATTTCAGTCCATCTGCCTGTTCTGCTCCCCTCTGTCTCTGGTGAATCCTCTCACACCCCCTGCCCTGCACCTCTGGCCTACACTCATACATAGCTTGTATGTGTAAGTAAAATAAATATTAAACAATAAAATTAGGAGCTCTCCTGGATTCCTCCCTCTGTCTCTCTTTAAGATGTATTTATTTATTTGTAGAAGAACTGGGGTATAGACCAGAGGTAGGGAGCTATGTGTGTGAGTAAGAGGATGCATGGCACAGAAGTCTGCTGTGCCATGTGGGTCAGCCCCCTGGCCAGCCATAGAACTCAGGCCATGGTGGAGACAGTGCTAAGACAGCACTCATTCCCCACAATTCTAATTCCTCATCAGACCTAAAATAAAACTCATATTCTTTCCCATAGCTGACAGCCCCGCCCCTCTGGCTGTAGCCTGCCCTCCCTGCTCCATCCTTGCTTCTGTTCCTCAAACACATCAAGGTCATTTCCAGCTCAGAGCATTTACATCTGTAGCTCCCTCTGCCTGGAACATCCTTCCCCACATCTGCTAGGCCAGTTACTTCTCATTTTTTAGGACTCAGGTCAAACATCAGCTCTTTTGAGGCACCTCCCAATGTGAAGTTTCTTGAAGTTATTCTCAATCCTATCACTTGGTTTCTTTTCTTTTTGTTTGTTCTCTGTTTTTATTATCTGTCTCTGTCCACAAATTTATAAGCTCCTTTGGGAGTGTCATGTTGACCATACAGCTGGCAGGTATCCAGCACATTGCATGAATTTACAAACAAATGAATCAAAGGAGCAGGGGGCAGGTCACTAAATAAAAAAAAATTCTCTAGAGAATCAGGTTTTTATATAAAAAGCAAGGTTGAGGTTAAGTACATTGGCTACTCTTAGGATTTCATAAAATCTGCGCATCTGCATTGTAAGGAGGTGGAGAACTGTTTAGGAAGTAGCCAGAATTAGAGTGATAATTAATTCCCAGTGGGCATGGCTGAGATGGTACATAATCAGCTCAGCTCCTGATCAATCCAGGGAAATTTCCCAGAGAGGTGCGATATTTCAGGAGCCAAATAGAGCCCTATGAGTAGTATATATTTACAATGTAGCCCCTCTGGTAAGAGCACTTCTCAGTTCATAGACACTGTCCTCAGTAGATTCATTATTGTGGTCCTTCCTCACAAAAAAAATCCTGTAAGGTAAGGACTATTTCTTTTGTTATTTTTTCCCTTTTATTTATTTTTAATTTTTTCCATTGTTGTCCATTTTTGTATAGTATTTGATTTCTCACCTCAGGTGTAGTCCCTGTAAATATCTAGCCACCACATCACCTATGAAACATTACATGGTCCCTTGTTTTCTTCCCTCACCTGTTTTGATTCCTTTTCCTCTGTCTCCCCTGCTTAAAACCTCAGCTCTATAGTTGCCTACAAGTTTTGCCCTTTTTTGGCTACTCTATATTTCTCCTATAATTGAAACTATCCAATGTTTTTTCTTTTCCTTTTGATTCATTTCACTGAGCATAATCCTTACCAGCTCCATTCATACTGCTGTAAATGATATGCAGTTATCTTTTTGATAGCTGAGTAGTATTCCATTGTATTAATATATCATATTTTCTTGATCCAGTCATCTTATTTTTGGCATTTAGGGTGTTTACATGTCTTAGCTAATATAAATAGTGCTGCAATAAACATGAGCACAGGTTTCCTTTCAAATTAATATTTTTGTGTCCTTTGCCACAAATTTCTAGCAAAAGAATTGCTGGGTCATATGGTAGATCCATTCTTAGTAATTTGAGGGTCTTCCACATAGCTTTCATTGGACCAGTTTGCACTCCCACCAGCAGTACAAGGGCTCCTTTTTCTCCACATCCTCACCAGCATTTGTTTTCAATTTTTTTAAATATGTGCATTCTTACTGGTATGTGGTAGTATCTTACATGGTTTTGATTTGCATTTCCCTGGTTGTGCTGCTGAACATTTTTTCATTTCCCTGCATGTCCTCTGTGGAGAAGTATCTTTTTAGTTCTGCCCATTTTTTGACTGGGTTGTTTACTTTGTTTTTGTTGACTTGTATAAGCTCTTTGTAGATCTTTGATAGAGGTTGGTAGGACAGTTTCTAAGCCCATTGTACAGTTAAGAAACGTGGTTTGGAGAAGTAGCTTGCCAGCTAGGTTTCAGTGCCATGAGATATGCAAGGTAGGGACTGCTTGGCTAGTTTTAAAAACAAGGAAGCTGAGGTTCAGAAACATCAAGTGGCTGGCCCAGGGTCATTCAGCTGGTCAGTCATAGCATGGGACTGAGCCCAGGTCCTTCCAGTGTTGATCCTGTGGCTTTCTGCTGGGGCTCGCAGATCTTGTTGGGACAAGACTGGGCATGACATTTGTGCCCTTGGCATTCAGAGACTGGGATAGGAGAAAGGATGCCCATTGTGGGAAAAACTGATGTTCCTCTTTCCCCCAGGCATTCCTGGAGAAGTACGGATATCTCAGTGCACGGGTCCCCAAAGCCCCCACCTCCTCGCAATTCAGCAATGCCATCAGGTAGGACAGAGGGGTGTAGAGAACTTGGAGGTGGTGGAGTACAAACCTGGGGTCACCTCCTCCTGCTGGAAGGTTGGTCTCTTACAGGTGGATTGCACAGCCTAGCTCCCTCCCTCCCTTCGCTGCCATCTCCAGGGACACCCCTGCTGCCCCCCCCATGCCCCCGCCCACCTCTCTCATCCTTCATGTCAATTCCTCCTGACAGGGAGTTCCAGTGGGTGTCCCAGCTGCCTGTCAGTGGCATACTGGATCCTGCCACTCTGTACCAGATGACACAGCCCCGATGCGGGGTTGCAGATACTGACACTCAGGTGGCCTGGACTGAGAGGATCAGTGCCCTATTTATTGGTCGCAGGGCCAAAACAAGGCGCAAGAGACGCTTTGCAAAGCAAGGTAAGCACTGTTAAACGCGAGTCAGCTGAGGTTCCCCAGTGCCTTGAAATTCCATGTCCTGAAAAACACTGGTGCAGTCTAAGGCTGAGTTTGGTCAGAATCTCTTGCCCAGGGCAGTGGAGGAGAGAGCAGTGGGCAATCGGAGCTCTTGACTTGAGGAGGCTATTTGTGAACATAGATATTTAACCCAGAATTATACCTAAGTTGATGAATTTTCATTGTGTGAGTATTTTCCAGGGCAAACACCATCAATCCATTTAATTCTTTCATCAGTTTTTTATGTGGGGCAGTTAAATGATTGCCAATATTTCCCCTTTATATTTTATAAAGGCAAAAATTCTTTTTCATAAGAATTTTCAACAAAGAGGGAATTAAATTCTTTTTCGTAGGAATTACTCAACAAAGATGTGATTCAGTTCTTCTTCTAAGAATAATTCAACAAAGATGTGATTCATTAATCAGTTTTGTTTTGTCCATAGCAATTTTTAATAATTTATTGAAATATAATTCACATACCATACAATTTACTTATTCAAAGCATACAATTCAGTGTTTTTTAGTATATTTGAAGAATTGTGCAACCATTACCACAGGCTAGTTCCAGAACATTTTCATCACCCCACCAAGAAGTCCCATGCCCACTTGCAATCACTCCCCACTCCCCCCAAAACTCTGTCAACCACTAACCTACTTTCTGGCTCTATGGAATTGCATGTTTTGAACATTTTATCTTTGCATGTTTTATACACTTCAGCCTTTGCTTTTGTGTTTTTCCTTTTGTAGTTCTGTGTTTTCCTGTTTCCTCTTCCTCCTTTTCCTCCTCTGACTAAATCCAATCTTCAAGGGTCAAACATCACAGATTTAAGATTGATAGAGAAATTTTGATTCTTTTGTCAGTCTTCATCAACAGCAAATTTGTCTGTGTGCTTTTAGCATTTTAATTTTACTAAGTCTAATTTTCTCTGATTTTTCAGTTTGCAGGATGGGGATATTCAGTCAGGTTGTCATCTGCAGTTAATGTTGCTATGAGTGCTTTCGGACATTGCTGCTATTAATTTGCATTAACTCCTTTTACCGACAGTATCCATTATTCAGAGGCCAGAAGGCACCTGGCTTGTTTGTACATCTTAGCTAACACATAAAGAAACTGAGGACAGTTCCCTGCTACTGTAGGATGATGGCTGTTTCCAGGGGATTACCAATCAGATTCCCTGTGTCTGTACACCAAGCCACTCTGGATTCCCAGTTCTGACCAACCAAGTTCCTAGTAAAGCAGAGACAGAGACAGCGATGGGGTCCAGACCAGGTCAAGACGTCTGTCCTCATTACATGCCCTGCAGCTCATTGCGTTTCCAGCAGCAGAGCGAAAGGGAGAAGCATCATGAACTCAAGAGGCCCACTAGTGCAGAAAGAGCGTATCCCTGAGGGGTGGGGAAGGCCCTGGGTTCAACTGTGTGATCTGGGCCCTGTCACTTTGTTCCGTTTTCTCATCAGAGACAGCCCTTTCAGGGTGTGAAGGAAAGATGGAGCTTCATCATGAGAACGCAAACAGGAGCAGGGTCACCCCAGACAGTCTCAGCAGTTACATGTCCAGGCTATAGACAACTGGGGCCAAGCCTCCTTGGGAAGCAGGGCATGTCCCAAGCACTGGGCATGCACTTTTCTGTTACCATCTCATCTTCTGGGCCTCCAGGGAGGAGCTCATGGAGTCCATTTGTCACTGTCCAATTTGCAGATCCCTTTTGGGCTTTTTGGTCGTTTAATTTTTATTACTGAGGTAATAAAATTTTTTTATTACTGAGGTAATCATACACAGTGCTCTGTAGGATTTAGGGAAATAGGTTAATGGATATCACCCCACCCACCACCAGAGCACTATAGATCTTTACCACAGACCACTGATCTCCCCTCCCTTCATTCCCACCTCACTCTCCCCTTTTGGTAGCCTCAGTTCTGCAGTTCTGTTTCTACAGTTTGGGTTTACTTTCATTGGTTCCTTTGGTTTGTTTCTCTATATTCCACGAGTGAAATCATCTAGTATTTGTCTTTCTCATTCAGACTTACTTTGCTTAACATAATCCACTCCAGTTCCATCCACGGTATCACAAGTGGCAAGAGGTCATTTTTTTCACGGCTGAGTAGTATTTCATCATGTAAATATACCACATGTTCTTAATCTACTCATCTGTTGTTCAGTACTTGTTTGCTAACTTTACTATTGTAAATAATGCTGCAATGAATGTAAGAGTGCATATATACCTTCAGATTAGTGTCTTTGCTTTTTCTGGATAATTACCAAGATGTGGAACTGCTGGATCATATGGTAGACCTGTTTTTAACATTCTGAGAAACCGCCAGACTGTTTTCCATAGAGGCTAGACCAGTCAACATTCCCACCAACAGAGTGGGAGCGTTCATTTTCTCCATACCTTTGCAAAAATTTGTTTCTGGTTTTTTTGAGATGGGCCATTTTCACAGGGGTGAGGTGATATCTCCTTATGTTTTTGATTGAATTTCCATGATGATGAGTGATATTGAATAGTTTTCCATGTGCCTGTTGGCCATTTGTTTGTGCCCGTTAGAGAGGTAGTTTAGCTTTTCTGCACATTTTTTTTGTTTTGAGTTGTGTGCATTCTTAGATCTTTGGTATTAGCCCCTTGTTAGATGTATGTTATACAAATATTTTCTCCCATAGGTAGGATGTCTTTTTATTTTAATAACTGTTTCTTTTTTCTAAAGATTTATTTTATTTGTGTTTACAGAACTAGGGTACAGGCCAGAGATGCAGGGGCGGTGAGAGGCTTCACCAGGGGCAGAGTGGGGAGCAGAACAGGCTGATCGATGAGGGGAGCAGTGGCGGGTCAGGAGAGGTCTGCCGTGCCATGTGGTTACCTCTGGGGCGGGGGAGGGGGGTTCGAACTCATGCGGAAGTGGCTTTAGCTCCTTAGTGCTGTGCTTTAACCTGCTGCCTCACCAATCCATAATTGTTTCTTTTACTGTGCAGAAGTTTTTAGTTTGAGGTACTTCCATTTCTTTAGTTTTCTTGTCATTGGAGTTGAGTCCCTTAAGACATCCCTGAAATCAATGCCATGGAGTGTGTTGCCTATGTTTTCTCCTAAGTATTTTATAATTTCCAGTCTTACATCTAAGTCTTTAGTCCACTTTCAGTTAATTTTTGTGTGTTGTGTAAGAGCACTGTCCATTTTTCCAACACCATTTGTTGAAGAGACTTTCTTTTCTCCATTGTACACTCTTAGCTCCTTTGTCATCTAGTAACTATCCATATATGTGTAGGCTCTCAATTCTATCCCATTGGTCTATATATCCATTTTTAGTCTAAAAGCAAACTGTTTCAATTACTACGGCTTTACAATATAGTTTGAAGTCCAGGAGTATGGCACCTCATTCCTCTTCTTATTTGGAGAAGTCACTTTGGCTAGTTGGAGTCTTTTGTGGTTCCGTATACATTTCAGTAATGTTGGTAGAGCATCCCTTTTGGGCCAAGATTCATGTGGCCTTACTCCACCAAGCTTCTGTAGCTCCATTTTACTATCTGACAGCATGACAAAGAACTTCCCTCTTGTTCACAACACAGACTACAACAACTCCACTTCCTTCACCTCCTGGGTAAAAAGACATTGCCTAGAAAGGAGCTTGGACCTGGCAGACACTGAGCACTTTCTAAACCCAGGAAGGAAAATGTAATAATAACAGTTTATACTTACTGAGTATTTATGATTTGCCAGACATGGCACTAAATGAATTAATTCATTTAATCACATAACAACCCTATGAGATAGGTACCATTATTACTAGCCTCATTTTACAGGTGGGAAAACTGAGGGACAGAAAGCTTAGGCAGGGCCTCCCTAGTGGTGCAACAGGTTAAGTCGCAGCACCATGAAAATCTCCACGCAGCCACTGCAGCACTAGTTGACACAGGGAGCTACCCACATGGCACAGGAGACCTCTCCAGCCTCTCCCACCGCTCGCCTCAGCAGTAAATTTCAGTAGATCTGCCTGTTCTGCTCCCCACTCTGCCTCTGGTGACTCCTCTCACTGCCCCCACTCCCTGCATCTCTGGCCTATACCCCAGTTTTTAATGCATAAATAAATAAATCTTAAAAAAAAAAAAAAGAAAGAAAGAAAGCTTAGGCAACTTTCTGAAGAACACATAGCCAGAATGTGGCCAAGCATTCTTGTCATTAGGAAGATAAGGTGAGATTCCAGGTGTGAAAAATTTCATTTCATGGGTAGGTAACAATTATGTGAATTCCTAGGCCAGTGATTTTCCATCCTGTGGGTGAATTATGCTGATGAAACTGGGTTCTAGGGTAGGATCCAGAGAAAATACAGATGCCCAGTTAAATTTGAATTTCAAATGAACAACAAATACTAAAAAAAAAAAAAAAAATGCCACTCATGTAAAGCTATAAAAATGCTACTCATCTGAAGCTATAAAATTAACTAGGCATTTTATAGCTTTACTTCCTAAATATGGCAACCTGAGTCCTGGTACCTGTTCCCTTCTGTGCCTGCAGAATTGATTTTCCATCCTCCCAGCTCACTCTTAGAGCTGGTGGGAGGAGAGGGCATTGGGTATATCTGGGGTAGAAAAGGGAAGAGTTACTGAGCCAGGCAGCTTCACATTGCTATTTCACTTGTGATCTTATTTTTACTGTGGGGTAAGTCTTATCAATCCCACTTCATGAGTAAGAAAGCTGGGGCTTGGAGAGAAACCATAATTTGTTATGTAAGTTTATGTAAGGTTGTAAGCAGAGGAACTGGGTTTCCTATCCATGCTCTTTCCACAGTATGCCTGTCGGGAGCCAGGGCTTCTGGGTAACTCCCCAAGCAAGGAGTGTGTCTCTCCTCACCCTCTCAGTTCCTTTTACTTCCTCTTCCCTTTTGGATTTTGGAGCAAAGTTACCTGGGGGGTGGGGAAGTGCAGTGCCAGGTGTCACTGTAGCCTGGTCACCATGGAAACCTGCGGGCCTGGCTAAGAGTTGGAACCAAGTGGCCAGCCTGCTCCAAGGACTCAAATCTGGAAGAAGACAGGGGAAAGGACTCAGGCTGCCTGCCTCTGGCTGGGCTCCTCTGGCAGGCACACCAACACTCAGAATTACCAAGGAATTCTAGTTGCAATTTATCCTCTCTTTTCTCTTCCCCCAAACACACACACATACACACACAGACAGAGTTCATGGAGAATTTTTATCTTATCTTCATTAGCTTCCTAGAGAGAGAGAGTAAGCTGCTCCTTCTCCCCCTTTGATGAGAGCCAGTCATCCAGTACCAGTCTCTCCAGTGTCTAGTGAAAACTTACAACGTGACTAGAAGCGTTACCGGCCCATGTTGAACGCTGGGTGGTGCCACTGGACTTCAGGCCTTCCTGCCTCCTGGCCTCCCTCCCTTCCTCAGAGTCTCTCCCTCTCCCCTTCAGGACTGCTGGTCCCTGGCTGGGAGGAGTTGGGTGGCTGCCAGGCCAAACAGGCCTGAAGAGGCTGCATTGCCTTGAATGGAGCTTGGCTCTCTAGTTAAAGAAGGGCTGCCCCCTCCCCCACTTCCATGGGTGGAGGAGGAGGGGGAAAGGGCACGGAGTGCCTCTGCTCTCTAAGACCCTCCCTTCCATCTGGAGAATTTCAGCTCTTGCAGGGCCCCAGCTTTGACCCAGTTAAGCAAGTCTATAAGCCTTGAGTCTTAACAAATATGCCTCTAGTTATGTGGTAGGGGAAAGCACACTGGGTTAGGGGTCAGGACCTGGGGTCAGACTTAGCTCACCCTGTGACTCTGGTGGGGCCCTTCCCAGGGTCTCAGTTTCCCCAGAATAGAGCCTGGGATAGTAGATGGGGAGCCCTGAAACTTCAGTTACCCTTTGATGGGAGCAGGGGCTGTGCCTGCTGGCCTGGTCACCTGTGCCCTCTCCACTTGTCACGCAAGCCCCAGGGATTCTGTTCCATTTGGGAAACTGAGGCCCCAAAGACATGATTTTTGTACACACCCTGAGCCCAGGGCGCCTGCCTCCACCAGCAAGTCTTCCAGGAGGCTTACAGGACTTGGAGCGCAGCCCCCGAGAAACTCAGGGCTCTGGACTCACTAAGCACACTGCTTCTGGGTGCATGTTGAGCTGAAGAGGGACCCAGACTCAGCTGACTGGAGGTTTGGGCAAAAGGCCGCAGCTTCAGTCTTTAGGGAGGAATTACAGTTTTGGGCAAAGGGAGAGAAATTTGACTAAGCAGAGATGGAAAAATTTCTCTGGGTCAGTGACAAAAGCACACCCGTTCTTATTTGTTTTTACCTCAGAGCTCTCCAGAGTCCCTAAGGAAGTGAGGGGGAGGGGAGGAGTCAGGGAAAGACCTGGAATAAATGGGTCTTGTGGTCAGGCTGGTCAGCCAGAGGCCTGAGGCACTGGGAAGGGCAGGGTGGAGCCTCAGAGGTGGCAGGAGGCATGGAGAGAAGGAATAGGGTAGAGGTCAGTCATAGCTGTGGCCCTGTGGGGCCCACCTCTCTGGATTTGCTGGAAATGCTGGCAGGAAGAGGTGCAGTGTGGTTTTAAGTTCAGCCCAGGCTGTGGGGAAGAACATGCCTCGAAGCCAGAGGGCCCCTGGGTTGGGGGCCCTCAGCAGAGGTGTCATCTCCCCCACCAAACTGGGAACTCCCAGGCCAAGTCACGAGGACTAGGGGGTTCTCTAGATAGTCTTGTCGTCTGAGAGTTGTATCTCCTGCCAAAAGGGGGCCTTTCCCAGGGGGCTTTGTCTCTGGAGGAGTGTCTGTCTCCCCATCATCTGGGTTTGGGGGACCAGTCAGGCACAGCAGCAGGTCTAACAAGGCCTCTCTGGGTGACAGGCAGCAAGTGGCCCAAGCAGCACCTCTCCTACCGCCTTGTGAACTGGCCCCAGCACTTACCGGAGCCTGCAGTCCGGGGGGCCGTGCGTGCTGCCTTCCAGCTGTGGAGTAACGTCTCAGCACTCCAGTTCTGGGAGGCCCCAGCCTCAGGCCCTGCGGACATCCGACTTACCTTCTTCCAAGGGGACCACAACGACGGGCTGAGGAACGCCTTTGATGGGCCAGGTGCTGCTACAAAACTCTCTCCAGAACAGGGTGTGGTCCAGGGCTGATGATGGAATATTCAAGTCTCCCAGTGGCTTTGGACAAATAGCCCTCAGCCTCATGGTTAAATAGGGGTCCCTGCCCTATTATGCGCCACATGATGAAGGGACAAGCCAACAAGGTTCTACTTGGGAAGCAAACTCTAAAAGTATTATCAATTCTGAGGGAAACTGCTAAGATCCCATCATTCACTCCCAGCTCTAGACAGGCCTGGGCTGCTCACTCTCTAGCCAGGGCCCTAAAAACATCCCAAAGCCACCACTGCCCCCATTCCTGCTTTCCTCCCACCCATTAGCATGTCACTGCAGCAGGGCAAACGACATTGAACCCCTGCCTGTCCAGAAGGGGGTCACACACCTCCAGGCCCAGAGAGTACTGCTTACCTCCAACCTGAAGGCGTCTGGCTACCATTTAAGCTGCTCCCCTCCCACTCTGCCCAACACTGCCCTCCAGAACCTGAATGTGGCATCTCCTCTCCCCAAATAAGGCCTAATGGGATGCGGCAAGGTGGGGAAATTAGCCCCGTGTGACCTGGGCACGGGGCCCCACCTCCTTGGCGATCTCCTACTTTCCCTCAGGCTCACTCATTACACAACCCCTTTCCTGAGCCTGTGCAGGACCCTGGGAGGTCAGGGAGAAATCTTGGCTTTTCTAGCATCTACATGCAATAGACCAGGTAACTCACTGCACCTGAGATGGATACCTGAAGTGTTCATGTTCATCCTCAGCAGAGTGGCAGCTAAGAGAGCTGGACTAGGGGGTGAGTGCACCAGGCTTGCCAAGCAGCTCTGGTATGGGACAGGTGTTTTACCTCTTTGAGTCTCGGTCTTCTCCCTCTGAAACCTGTCATTATGGCCCCCCAGGGCTATAGCGAGGGGTGAAGTAAAGGAACTTACAGTGCTGGAAACTGCTTGAGGCAGGTTCGCCCAGGAGGCATGCATTCCTCCTCCACACTCTGCGCCCCAGAAGGTTCTCCTTCCGGGGCAGCCCTCTGACTGTCCTCTGTTCCATTTGGCCTAGGCTCAGAGAAGGCCAGGCTGGAAGGACAGGCCACAAGCTGCTAGGTGGACAGTTTTGCTGCCCCTGCCTCTGCAGAAAGTGAATTGTGAGCAGTGAAGCCCAGCACACTGCATATGTAATAAGCTCCATCTGGGCCACGCACATGCCCGAGAATCACTCCCGCAGCCCACCTGCCTCTGCTCAGGCCTATTACAGCAGAGAGGCAGAGAGCCCCACCAGGAGCCCTGAGAGGGAAGGCCAGGGCGACACAGCTTTCTGGTGTGTGTACACAGTTCAGATCAAGGTATTACCAACACCCCAGAAGGTCCCCTCAAGGGCGACCTGGTTGAATCTGCCTCAGGCTGTTTTGAGTACTGTAAAGGTGTTAAACCTACATCTAGATTTAGATTTTTTGGGAACATATATCCTAGGTAGCATCGATTATGAGGTAGGCATTAATATTATATGTAACATACACATAGACACACAACCCTGGCTAGTTCTCAGAACCCTGAGCAGACAAGCCCCACTGTCATCCTTTGGGTCTTCACATCAGGAAAATGAGACACAGAACAGTTAAGTTATTTGCAGAAAGACACACAATTAATGAGTGGCAAAGCCAGCGCTGGAGCCCAGGCAGTTTGGCCCCAGGCCATAACTACACCCCTCTGCCAGTTAGGCCTTCATTTCTCACACTAGGTCTCTGTTCACTGCTCCCCACGTCAGCTCCTGCCAGATTCACCAGGGAAATCACGCAGCAGCAAACAGGCGCACATTCCCCTGGTATTTGCGCTGGGAGCTCGGGCGAGGCGAGCCGCAGCCCCCGCTGACTCTCCGCGCCGCCCGCAGGGGGCGCCCTGGCGCACGCCTTCCTGCCCCGCCGAGGGGAAGCGCACTTCGACCGGGACGAGCGCTGGTCCCTGAACCGCCGCCGCGGGCGCAACCTGTTCGTGGTGCTGGCGCACGAGATCGGCCACACGCTCGGCCTGACCCACTCGCCCGCGCCGCGCGCGCTCATGGCGCCCTACTACAAGAGGCTGGGCCGCGACGCGCTGCTCAGCTGGGACGACGTGCTGGCCGTGCAGAGCCTGTATGGTGAGCCCCTGGGGTGCCGCTGGCGTCCAGCCCTGCCCGCCTGCCTCCGGAGCCTGAACGCCGCTCTTCAGACAGGATCCCCATCTTAGTCACCCGCCTACCTCATCCTGAAGCCTCAGGCACCCTCAAATCTCAACAAGCTCCGTCAGCCCCAGGTCCCATCCGCCGTCCCCCTGGCCCTTGTCCCCGCCACACCTTCCCCTTCCAAGACGCTGACACTCCCTCACAAGCCTGGACCTTCCAGAACAGTCTCCCCTAGCATGAAGTGGCCAGTGCTGCAGCCCAGGAACCTGCCGGGCATGCTTTGAGTGCCCAGTAAGTCTGGGTTCAAGTCTACCCCTGATTAGCAGTTGCTCAGGGGCAGAGCACTTTCCCTCTGAGGGGCTCAGCTTTATCTTCGGTGAGAAAGGCTAGGAACACAAGCCCTGCTCACCACATGGCCAATGCACTCGTTGTGAGCATACTTTGTGGCCTGAGAAGCCCACACAAATGTAATGGTCACTGCGCTATTTTGTGAGTATCTACCATGGGCCAGACACTTAACACATTCCGGAGGACGTCCAGAGGTATTTGTCCACAGATAAGAGTGGGGCTCAGAGAAGTGAAGTAACTCGCCCACTGAAGGAATTTGCAGACCAGGAGTCAGGAGGTGCTGCCAGATACCCAAGTTGGGCCCCCGTGAGCACCGATAACCAAGGGCAATTCTAACCCACCCGCCCCTCTCCCCCTCCCTGCATCTCCTTTTGGTGATGAAGGAAGCAGAGGGATGTGTGTGGGGGGTGGGATGGGGATGGGGGGGCTGTGTGTGCAGAAACCATAAGCCTCAAGACCTCCCCCTACCAATACCAATGCACATTCTTTCCTTCTCCCCTCCCCTATAAAGGTAAGCCTGAAGGGGGGTCCGTGGCCGTCCAGCTCCCTGGAAAGCTATTCACTGACTTTGAGGCCTGGGATCCCCGCATCCCTAGGGGCAGGCGCCCTGAAACTGGTGGCCCTAAGTATTGCCACTCTTCTTTCGATGCTATCACTGTAGGTAAGATGGTGTCACCTTCTTTCTTCCATCGTCCCCCATAAACACAGGGGTCTCCTCTGTATATGGTGGGGGGCAGGGAGGTGAATTAGAAAATCCAGAAATCCCAAGCCAAAAGCATTCCGCAGGGGGGAAGCCCATTCTAAGCAAAGCCCCTTCCTCTCACATACTTCCCTCTGCCCACTGCACACGCTACATGTCTCTGCGGTTTGGAAAGGTGGAAGGCAGGCAGGAGGCTAATGTCCTTCACTCTTGTCTCCCGGCAGACGGACAACAGCGAGTGTACATTTTTAAGGGGAATCAGTTCTGGCAGGTGGCAGCTGATGGCAACGTGTCAGAGCCCCATCCACTACAGGAAAGGTGGGCTGGGCTGCCCCCCCACATCGAGGCTGCTGCTGTGTCGCTGGAGGATGGAGACTTCTACTTCTTCAAAGGTATCAGCCCTGGGGCACATCAGAAAATTGAAGTCCTGATTAAGGAGGTGTCCCCGCGGAGTTACAATGTGAACCTTTGGCCCTAGGATGCACTAACTGGAGACTCCTCCAGTGATGTGGGGTAGGGGCAGGAGTACCAGCAGTGGCGGGGGCAACTTCAGAGAAGATTCTAGAAGGAAGCATAGGATCACTTGCGATAGTCATCCCTTCTTTGGCCATGTAAGGCTGGCATGTCACCTAACGCTGACCTCTTGAATTTCTTCAATGGGTAAATAACCCTTCAGGTTTGTTGGGGAAGGGGGATTAAGAGAACATAATGTCTGGGGATTGTGCAGGATGTTACTTTGGTAAATAGTGTTCATTCACTCAACAAAGACTCAGTGTTTCCTGTGCACCAGAGGTAGTTGGAGGTATTAAGGTACAATAGTGAACAAAACACCCCCCCCAACACACACACACACACACACACACACACACAAAACTATTGTATTGTAGTGATGGTAGAAAGCCCCTGGCCTTGGTGGAGAGAGGGCATTCTTTGGAGAGAGAGGCCCTCCTGTCCTAGGAGGACATTCTTTCCTTTCTGCCTTCAGTCTAGCCCATGATAGTCCCTCCCCCTCCTGTTCGTAACAATTATTAGTATGATCCATTTTGCTTATTGCAAATACTGATGTCAGTTTGGAGAGGGGTTGGCTTCAGAGAGCAGGGCCCCTGGGATACCTCTGAGAAAAGTTTCATCAGGGCTTCTCTTTCCAGGGCACTTGGTGTTTCCTTAGCAAAGTTTCCCCATGAGGCAGAGACATTTAGTGACAGCCACAAGGGCAGGTTTGTTATAAAAGGAAAGTAAAGGATGGGCCTGCACGTCACAGGCTGGCTGCTGCCCGGGAGACTGCCTGGCAGACTGCGCTGAGTCTCTTCTCTTTGGGAAGGGCTCATTCCTTTCCTGGGATCGGTAACTGCTGTTAAATTACTTCCAGGTTTGGTGCCTAAGGATTTTTTTCTCTGTTTGAAGGAGCGGTGATTCTTTTACAAAAGCCCTCAATCTTCATCTCCCCACCTGGTCTGCGCCTCAGTCTTCATCTTCTCCCCCCACTCCCACTCCCCGATCAGAATACTTCTCCATATAGCTTGTTTAACTACTCTGCCATCATTTCTACCTCGCCCTCAGCTTCTGGCCTTGTGTGAGCCAGTTCTGGTCTTGGGATGCCTCCTTCCCAAATGTCCTTGTCCTTCACCACTAACCATCAGGGGCTCCAATTTAGGGCAGAGGAGGGGCTGGGAGGCAGGGTGAGAGGCCCAAAGGGTGAGGACCACCAGCTCACGTTTGCTCTCCGTGTCCCACAGGGAGCCGATGCTGGAGATTCCGGGGCCCCAAATCAGTGTGGGTCCCCCCACAACTGTGCCGGGCAGGCGGCCTGCCCCGCCACCCAGATGCCGCCCTCTTCTTCCCTCCTCTGCGCCGCCTCGTCCTCTTCAAGGGTGCCCGATACTATGTGCTGACCAGAGAGGGATTGCAGGTGGAACCCTACTACCCCCGAGGCCTGCGGGACTGGGGCGGAGTCCCCGAAGAGGTCAGCGGTGCCCTGCCTCGGCCCGACGGCTCTGTCATTTTCTTCAGAGATGACCAGTATTGGCACCTGGACCAGGCCAAACTGCAGGCCACAGCCTCTGGCCGCTGGGCCACAGAGCTGCCCTGGATGGGCTGCTGGCATGCTAACTCAGGGGGCGCCCTCTTCTGAAGGTACCCTCACCTCTTAGTGAACTGTTGATGCCTTTGTGGCCCACTTGGGTGCCCTGCTCCAGAGGCAGAACTGCTGAGCCTCCCTGCAGAAGACCCAGCTTTGCCAGGAGAAGGAGGCATCATTGTGCTGTGCCCACTACACAGAGGTGGTACTGGCATCGATCCAAGGAGAAGCAAAACTGAGCCCTCCAATCCTTTCCCCAAGGACCTGTTACCTCCCCAAGTCTTGGGGATTTAGCTTTTTCCACTAAAGTGGCAACTTCGCTTCAAGACATGGAGCCCTGGGAGTATGCAAAACTTGAGAAGAGGTTGGGGCCACTTTGCAAGACTGTTCTCCTCCCCTGGAACCTCCTGGCTCAGCCCCAGAGAACTGTAATACTGACCAAAGAAACTACCCCCAGGAAGCTTGAATGGGTTAGGTACAAGGGTCTCCCCTGGGGGGACGGGGAGTTAAGAGCCAGAGCTGGAGAGGGCTGCTGCAGGCCTGCAGGTCCCTGGCTTTTTGTGAGGGGTTGAAACAAAAAGGTGCCCCCAGCTGGTAGGACTGGAAATGGGAATTAGCCTTCTTTGGAATGTTTTTCAGTGAGAGCTGCTGGTGGACATGGATCTGAAGAGGCTGAAATCATGTTCTGTCCAAGCCGTGTGTGTGTGTGTGTGTGTGTGTGTGTGTGTGTGTGTGTGTGTGTGTGTGTGATGAAGCTGGCTTCTCTTTACAAAGCAAAATGCCCTTGCCCTCAAACCCCAGGCCATATGGAGAATCTCTTAGGACAGGAGGGGACAGGCCTCTGGAGGTCTGCACTGCTGCAGGCTCTGGGGGCTGCACAGGCTGGGGAGGCCCTGTGCCCACAATGGCTCCATTCTCCAGGCCACACACACACACAGCATTCCAGGAGCTCCTGCTGGCTGGCCAGGAAGAGCTGGGATTCCTGGAGAAGAAACTAGCTCCCCAGCCTGACCTTCTACCTCAGCTAACTTGCATTTCCGAATGTGGGCTCACTCACCCCTCCACACCTGCCAGGGCCTCAAAGCACAAGCTCTGACCTCAGCGAGACTATAAAGGGGGAAGGAGAGAGGGGCCTGGCAGTGTCAGCCGCCAGCTCCTCGCAGGCATTCCTGGCCTTCGGGCATCCTTTCTTCTCTGTGCAGTGGGAAGAAGGGCCTGGACTATTGGGAATGCAAGTGCTGCGTTCCTCCCTCTCCCGGGGAAGGCAGAGGGAGCCCCTCTCCACCCGCCCTTTTCCCTCTGTCTTGAACCCCAGGGAAGCAGTGCAGGCCTTCATTACCCTCAAAGGGGCCACGTTGCCACTTTGACTAGAGGCTTTATTGAATGACTCGAGGGGAAGGGACTGGTTCCTCAGAGGGGTCAGGGAACCTGGAAGTCACTTCCTCTAGGCGATGCCTCTGCCCATCGGGCCAGAAGGACCTAAAATACCCAAGATAGGCAGGTGCGGCAGCGCCTGGGTCGCGCGTCAGACGGCAGCCCAGCCCGTACAGGGTGCTCCCGGGGCGGGGCCCTCGCGAGGCGCTCAGAGACTGAGGGCGCCCCAGGTGCTGCTGGGCGCAGCTTTGGGTGGGCCCCATCACAGCTGCGAGCCCCGCATCTGGCCCGCTGGCCTGAGGGGTGCGCTCCGGGAGGGCGGCTCTGAGAAGGCC